TGGCTCTCCAGCTGTTGTGAAACTACATTTTCCATGAGGTATTGCAAAGATGGGAAGTTACTGACTTACAGAGGCATGATGGAACTTGTAGTCCTGCAGCAGCTGGAGAGCCGCAGGTTGGCCACCCCTGCGCCTAGTACATCAGGGGGAAGTGCTAACCATTTAGCCACTGTGCCACCCAAGGTTGCAGTATTAACTCAAAATGCCACAAGGAGCCAATCAGTTGTGTTGCAGTGCTCATATGCTAACAAGGACCATGCCGATAGGAGGGGAGAGTAGAGAGGATGAGCTCATCAGTAGGCTGCTTCATCTTTCACTGTCCAATCAGAATCACCAAACTGCAACCGAGAAAAATCAGGTCTTCTCTCTGACCAGACAGGTGGGTTGTGCTGTGTGGCATAGTTGTGTAAACCTCAGGACTGGAAAGCAGAATTATAAATACTTTGGCTGGTAATACAACTCCCTTCTGTATGCGTATATATTTTTTTATGTCTTTATTTTTTTCATCTGTGTATTTATCTGTTTGTTCAGCTTTAAGCCAATGCTCTACTGCAATTGGGCTCTGCCTTCTATAACACCGTGCTCTACCTATTTTATATAGGTCACCTTTAAAAAATGTATGTTATGGAAAGGTTTGGTGTCGATTATTAGTACTCATAGGTAAATTCCCAGGTGCCCAACCTGCGACTTGGAATGGACATGGGTTCACAGTACTTACTGCTGGCCCCTGGGCCCTATCAGGCAGCAGTTAGTGTTTTTTCCAGCCTAGGTGATTACTTCGGGGAAAGAAAGTGACCTAAAAAATTGGTTTCTGCTAATATATGATTTGATATATTTAATTTTTTTTACTTTTTCTGTGCTGTCCATTCCCTTTGCTATCTTCACATTTTTTCCTCTAACTTTGTGTAATAGAAGTATATCCAATAGAGCGTCAGTAGTTATGAAGGGGGCTATAAGGAGTATTGGTTTGTAAAGGAGATTTAATGGCAGTGATCTGTAGCAGTCTCTTGTTCCCAATCTCTGACAACCTCCTGTAGTGTTTTCACAGTTTCTGAGTTTTCTGTAACATTAGACACTGAATATTATGTTGCTTTTTCTGATACTTAGTTCTTAATTAAGGAACCACAAAGTCTAACCTCGCCCCACGTTTTTTTTTTACCTCTGGCATGAAAGGTTATAGCATCTTCCAGAAGTAAAATGATTTTGACCTGTTTTAGTCCACCATGTTACTTGCATGTTAACAGGATGGTACTAGGTCTTAGAGAATTAGGTATGACTGGCTCACATGTCATTTGTTATTAAAATAATCTTATAGAGCAGGGGTCTCTAAACATTTGAAACAAAGGGCCAGTTTACTGCCCTTCAAATTTTAGGGGGGGGCAAGATTGTGGGCAGTGGTAGTAGAAAATGCCCTGGCATCAGTGAGATTAAACAATACCCTAGGCTTGGTAGTCAGTGGGAGGAACAGTGCCCCATCGTTGGTGCCAGTGGGGTAATTAGTTCCCCATGTCTGATATCAGTGGGAGGAACAGTGCCCCTTCGCTGGTATCAGTGGGAGGAACAGTGCCCGGTCGCTGGTGTCAGTGGGAGGAACAGTGCCCCATCTTTGGTGACAGTGGGGTAATTAGTTCCCCATGTCTGGTATCAGTGGGAGGAACAGTGCCCCGTCGCTGATGTCAGTGGTAGGAACAGTGCCCCGTCGATGGGGTCAGTGGGAGGAACAGTGCCACATCATTGGGGTCAGTGGGAGGAACAGTGCCCTGTCATCAGGGTAGTGGGAGGAACATTACTCCATCATTGGTGCCAGTGGGAGGAATAGCATCCAATTGTGGTGTCAGTGAGAAGAATAGCGGCCCATCGTTGGTGTCAGTGGGAGGAATAGTGCTCCATCATTGGTGTCAGTGGGAGGAATAGCGTCCCATCATTGGTGTCAGTGGGAAGAATAGCGTTGCATCGTTGTTGGCAATAGAAGGAATAGTGCTTCGTATCAGTGAAAAGAAAAGTGCCCCATCATTGGTGCCAGTGGAATAGTGTCCCATGGTTGGTGTCAGTGGGAAGAATAGCATCGCATCGTTGGTGTCAATGGAAGGAATAGTGTTTTGTATCAGTGGAAGGAAAAGTGCCCTAAAGGCTGGATAAAAGCAAGCAAAGGGCCACAGCCAGTTTGGAGACCCCTGTTATAGAGGCTCTAACCCAGGGTTGCTCAATCTTTTGAAGAGTGGGTCTGGGTGGGTACAGTGTGGTGCACTCTCAGTCCAGATGCAGTTGAAAAACTTGTATAGAATTCAAAGTATAACAGTTCAAAACAAGCCTGCTGGAAGTAAGGTACGTTCAAACCAGGAAAGACTCATGGATGACAACAGCGTGTAGCGGAGCAGGTCTCAGCCGAGTTGACAGCATCTGTCTCAAGTGGCGGAAGGAGGCCTGGGTGGTCTGAGCCCTAGTGGGGAGGTTTCCGGGAGAGTGACGGATCCCCAAGCTTTCCCTCCTCGTCTGGAACCTTTCACTACCGCTAATACTGTCTCTAACAGACAGGTGACCTGTTTCTATACTGCCCACCTGCTAGAATGTACAACAAACCCAGGAGCTAGGATCATTAATAGACTCTGCCACACCTAAGATGGTTGCCAGAATCGCCTGGGGGGACAGCATCTGATTGACCCAGGAAAACCATAGAGGAACTACAGTATGTTCCTCGTGACTTGATCTCCCTCTGCAATGCCACTGTGGTTGAGCCCCACCTTCAATGGAGAAAGTGGACTGCACCTACCTACACACACTTCACTTAACCCCTGGTTTACATATGTGCGACCATGCGGGCCGCGATTTGCGTGGGCACGAGAGCCCATTTATTTGAATAGACTCCCGTGCCCCGGGACAGGCAGGGAGGAAGTCCCTGCACTACTTGGGATATCGCAGCCCGCACGGGAACCAAGGTTTCCAGTATGTTTGCGATTTCCAGTGCAGGCAGAGTGCAGGTAGAATTAATGGCACCAGCCTGCAAGTCCCGCATTCCTCTGTATGGGTGGTGCAGCCGCAGGTATTTGTGCGGGTCCCTCAGCAGCACCACCCGCACAGATGTGAACCAGGGGTAAAGCAAAATTGACACAAAAGGGAAAGTTCTGCTTGCCTACATCCTCCCCCCACCCCTCCACTGCAACCTTTGGTGCTTTTTGGGAGGAGTGGGTACCTGGTTTTGACAGATACCCTCTCCCACTTCCGGTCAGATGTAGCGTGGCAATATGAAACCGGTTTTCCTTATTAAAGATGCCAGCACCTGCGCCCAAAGATGATTGAAGAATCGGCTCGAGCGAGGACATCACTGGATCCCTGGACAGGTAAGTGAGCTTATATTAAAAGTCAGCAGCTACAGTATTTGTAGCTGCTGACTTCATTTTTTGGGGGGAGCCTAGATCTCCACTTTAAATGATATGGTAACCAGTCATGGGCCACAATAAAAGAAAAAAGGTGCAATATTTCAAATTTTTTATTTTGAATAGCCTAATGAAGATTTTAACCACTTCAATACCAGGCACTTTTACCCCCTTCCTGCCCAGGCCAATTTTCAGCTTTCAGCGCTGTTGCCCTTTGAATTACAATTGTGCCTTCAGGCAAAACTGTACCCATATTAAATTTTTGTTTATCATTTACATTTACATATAACTTTGGACGTTCAGCGTACTGTTTCATATTATTAGCGCTGCACCTTTTCTATACTTATTATATTGTTGAGGATACAGAGGGTGCTCCTAGCAGCCTATTCTCCCTTTTTTCCTGTGCACTTACTGACATCTTCCATACTTAATCACCACTTGGTTTTTTATTGTTTGCTAAATAAATTAAAAAAGACTAAAAATGAAAAAAAAAACGTGTTTTTCTTCATTGCTGGTATAAAATTTTACAAATAAATAATCTTTTTTCTTTATGCCAAAATGTATTCTGCTACACATTTTCTACACAACTGTCAGGATTATCATTTTCTGTGGGACCAATCATCATTGGATGTTTGCCCACTGTTTAATAACAATCACCACAATCTATTTTTTCATTAACCAGATCACCATTTATCCCACTCTCGCACTTAGGTGTGACCAGCCATAAAATTTCCAAACCAGTGTTGCAGCCTTGACTATATCAGGGTCTTTGCAGCCCTCCCTTGAATTGCCAAAACAAGGACTGTGGACAGTCTATACAAAAACAGATCAGAGAAGCGCATGCCCAACTACTGCAATAACTTCTTTATTAAGCAAAGATAAAATGGCACAAAATGCATTCACATGCTCCCAGAATGATGTCAAGGTTATCACACAACTGTAAGACTCCACCATCAGAACTCCATGTATGGATGCCACTAGATGTAATCCACTCAGCCAAAGGCTCCTCTCTCCTGTGTTAGGAAGAAAAGGGAAGAGCAGCTTGTGTATGACACCAGCCGGCATGCACCCAAATGAGGCTGTATGGGTTGCCAGTGTCCGGGGCACATCAGGCGGCTCCACAAGCCACATTTGGCCCATGGGCATTTAAGACTGGTTCTTATCTGTGTCATGTGTTTTAAGTGCATTGTTCTTTGGATGTGTTACCATTGAACTCTATATCAACATGCATTTCACATTTTGAAAATTCATTGTATACACATGTGCGGGTAAACACCAATGCGCAAAAGCATCAACATTTACACAGTTACAGCTTCCATTGCACGCTGTACGCACCTGAACTGTGACCCTCTGGGCGCCAGGAATTTTACGTTAGGCATATAAAGTGTCTGCATACGTCTTTGTGCATGAGGCCCTAAAACATGTATAAAAAAAATAGCACTGCTTGCCTTCTTCTCTGTTAGAGCATATCATTCCCTTTGGTACTACAGGTGCACTTTTATTCCATCCCATTTTCATGTTTCATTGCATCTGACTCCTCTTATGTCTATTGTCACTCTGGCGTTTCCCTCCCTCCACCCTGTCCTATGTGTTCCTTTTGGACTAATGGTCTCCTCTCTTGTAGAGATGGACCCTTCCGGCACGCTCTGGCAGTTTCTCCTGCAGCTGCTGGAGGAGCAGAGCCACCGACACCTCATCTCCTGGACCTCCAATGATGGCGAGTTCAAACTCTTGGATGCGGAGGAGGTGGCGCGACTCTGGGGCCTGCGGAAAAAAACAAGACCAACATGAACTACGACAAGCTAAGCCGAGCTTTGAGATACTACTATGATAAGGTAAGGTACAGCATATGTAGAAATGATGGAAACTGGTCAACTTATTTAAATAGAATGTATAGAGCACAGGAAGTTATCATCTCACAAGATTTCCGGCAAAATCAGTACTTTTTTTTGCACTTATGGAACAGATATAAAAAACTATATTTAATGGTATATTTAGCAGATGGTATATTTACATACACTTTAAAGCTAAATTCGTTTTGGATGGAATGTGGACTCTTGCTGTATGTGTCAATGCTGGAGAGGTTTTTCTTTTCATTTCCTTTTCCATTACTCAGACAGAAATAGGTCCATACATGTTGTGAAGATTAGGCATCAAGGGTAGAGCTTTAAAGCCCAAGTCCGGACAACCAGAACAATTATCCCTTGCAGTGAGGCTATGCCCGTACTGCAAAGGTTAATAACTCGTTTTGTCTACGGTAGAGAAGAAACAGTTTCACTTACCTGATCCTCCATTCTCCTGGCAAATGGCACTCCCCCATGATACAGTGGTAGATTTTCTCTTTGTTTCCCTGCACTGGTCATGACCAGTGCAGGGATGTAGACCCTGTTGTCATCTTAATGACATCAGGACCCTAGACCGGCGCAGTGGAGGGGGTGCAGATACAGCAACGATTGGTCTAGATGCGGGGAAGAGCAGAAGATCAGGTAAGTAAATCTCCTTGTATTGTTTCTATAGACATAATTTAGAGATCAACCCTTGCAGTACGGGCTCAGTCTCACTGCAAAGGATAATTTTCTATTTCCTCAGAGCTTTGCTTTAAGGAAACAGTCACTTGCCAAATGTTTATATATTGGAAAACATTGCTCACAGCAGGATTTTTCCACAGGGGGTACAACACCATACAGTAGTTAAAGTAAGAAATACAGCCTCCTTGCTATGAAGCAGCCCAGCTGGGGCTACACTGGCTTTCAACATATTCTAATGCAGCCTCTCAAAAAAAAAAAAGAAAGAAAGAATGCAGCCTCTTAGACCCAAACACAACTGTGTCCACATGCTGCTCCTACAGCAGCTGTACCTACTGCATTCACAAGTGTCAGTCTGGTTAGTACAGACAAGAATACACCCCTAGTGTGTCTGTGTACTTGCTGCTACCTGGCAGCACAACAATCTCCTTGGGAGGATGGAGCCCTTAACACTACTCAGCTTCCATACCAAATGGCCTGAATATACCTGCACAATCAGCAGGTGCTAGTTACCATCAAAGCATCCACCCAGTGCTGGAGATTTCATCCTACCCAATGCTCTACAAATCCTCCTGACTCCAGGATCCAAGTCATGGATCAAAATGAAAGGCCAATTTACTCATAATGAGACACACATTCTAGATTCTCTCCATTTTTTGGTAAAAAGTCTACAAACTAATGTACAGTGAGGAAAATATGTAATCCCCTGCAAAATTTGTTAAGTTTGCCGATTTACAAAGAAATGAAGGGTCTATAATTTTTTATCATAGGTGTATTTTAAATGAAAAAGACAGAAAATCAACCAAAAATCCAGAAAAAAAACACATGATACAGATGTTATAAATTGAGTTGCAGTTCAGTGAATAAAATAAGTATTTGATCCCCAAGCAAAACATGACTTAGTACTTGGTGGAGAACCCTTGTTGGCAAGCACAGAGGTAAGACATTTCTTGTAGTTGGTTATGAGGTTTGCACACATCTCAGAAGGGATTTTGGTCCACTCTTCTTTACAGATCTTCTCTAAATCCTTAAGGTTTTTTGGCTGTTGCTTGGCAACTTGAAGCTTCAACTCCCTCCATAAATTTTCAATAGGCTCAAAAGAAGCACATTCAGGTCATGGAGTGGCCTAGCCAGTCTCCAGACCCTAATGGAGACTGGCTAGGCCACTTCATGACCTGAATGTGCTTCTTTTGAGCCACTCCTTTGTTGCCTTGGCGGTATGTTTTTGGTCATTGTCATGCTGGAAGACCCATCCATGACCCATCTTCAGTGTTCAGTGTGAGGGAAGAAGGCTCTCATCCAAGATTTTACAATACCCCATGGCCCCATCCATTGGCCCCTCAATGCGTCAAAGTTGGCCTGTACCTTGCATGGAGCTCCAGACAGAGGGTGATTGATGGTTATTTTGTATGTCTTCCATTTGCAAACAATCACTCCAACAATTGACTGAAGAAGCCCATTCCAGCCTTGTGCAGGTCTACAATCTTGTCCCTGATTTCCTTTGGCAGCACTTTTCCCATGGTGGTGAGGTTTGAATGGAAGAAAGAGATTCTGTGGACAAATCTTTTATACACATAACGAGTTGTCGTTAGGAGCACATTCTTAAATTGACAGGACTAATCTGTGTACCACATGAGCACATAGCCAGTCTGTGAGAGCCAGAATTATTTTTGGTTGGTAGGGTATCAAATATTTATTTTACTCACTGAACTGCAACTCAATTAATACTATTTGTATAATCAGTTTTTTTCTGGATTTTTGGTCTCTATCATTTAAAATATACCTATGATAAAAATTATAGACCCTTCTTTGTAAGAGGGCAAACTTACAAAATCTGCAAGGGATCAAATAATAATTTTCCCTACTTTATATATATTTGAAAATTGATCAGGATGCTGGTATGGGGTATGGTGGTGATTAGGACGCTAGTATGGCATATGGCAGTGATCAGGGCACTGGTATGGTGTATGGCGGTGATCAGGTCACTGGTATGATGTATGGCGGTGATCAGGGTGCTGGTATAGGGAATGGCGGTGGTCGGGGCACTGGTATTGAGTATGGTGGTGATCAGTGTGCTGATATGGTGTATGGCTGTGATTAGAACACTGGTATGGGGTATGACAGTGGTCAGGACACTGGTATGGGGTATGATGGTGATCAGGGCACTGATATAGGGTATGATGGTGATCAGGATGCAAGGTATGATGTATGGTGGTGATCAGGATGCTGGTATGGGGTATAGCTGTGATTAGGATGCTGGTATGATGTATGGCCTTGATTAGGTAAGAGGTATGGCAGTGATCAGGACGTTGGTATGGTGTATGGTGGTATAACATGTGAACACTGGGACAGGTGACAGGGACTGGCTGCCCTGTTTATTGTTGCTACACTGGGGTAGTGATCGGGGACACTGGGGCAGTCTGGCACTGCAGTCTGTGAGTGTGCATGTACTGTGACAGGCTGCTGTACACTCACAGGCTGCAGCAACAGTTCTCTCTACTCTGTCTACTCTCACAGTGAGAGCAGAGAGAACTGATGCTTACTTTCAGTTTGCATTGTTTACTATGTTTACTATGTTTACTATGTGATTGTTGTGATTGAATCAAGCAATCACATGGTACAAGACCATGTGATCACCGAGACACAGTGGTAATATGATCTGCTGTGTCCGGGCAACACACCGATCACAGGGCTCCTGGGTGGGCACTCTGTGAGCTGTTCAGGAGTCTCCAATGCAGGCTCATGTAAAGGTACGTTAATCCACATTGGCGCTGCTTCCCATCTGCCCACAGCCTATAAATGACAGATGGGAAACAGCGCCAATGCGGGTTAATTGTACCTGTACGTCAGTCTGCATCAGAGACTGCTGCGCAGCTCACAGAACACGCACCCGGGAGACCTGTGATTTGTGTGTCGCCTGAACACCCGCATTGGTGCTGCTTTCCCATTCGCCGTTTATAGGCTTTGGGCGGACGGCAAGTGGTTGAAAAGTGTAGGTAAACTTACTCCTCAGTCTTGATTGCAACATCTCTTCCTAAGCCATACTGCAATATTATGGATCAAAGTTACATTTTCCTCTATGAGCCAAGTTAACTTCCTGCCCTGGGGAACAGAAATTTTTTCCTGTCTTGTTATCATCTTGGGCACTGGTCCCCTCACCACCCCCATGAGTTCTCCTGCCTCTGGAGCCTTTGAGAGAGGACCTGGCCGCTGGAAGTGTTGTCTCCACCAATAGGAGTTGTCCACATCATGCGTGCAGTGATGTGGACACCCAAAAAAGGACCCCAGAAGTAAACATGACCATGGCTTCAGGCAAGTAAAATGGGCATTTAGATTTTTTTTAGGTTTTTAGGTTTTTTTTTTTATATCAGCAGTTATTTAGTGGTGGAAGGACGGTGTGGTAGGGGAAGTTGCTAATATCCTAGAGATGGGCTTTAACAAAAACTGTTTTTTATTTTTAAGATGTTTTTATCAGTCCCAGTTCACTGTACTGACATTTGAATACACAAATCCACTGTGATTCCCACCCAAAACTGATATTTAGGTCTGAAGTGAAAACTGGTGGGTTATCACCTTCTGGCTGAATATACCTTTCAGAGATTCCATTGTTGGGATTTGATTTTAGTATTTTGAGCCTCTCCACCAACAATTATACAGGTATAATTCTTTTGTAGCTGGCTTTTGCAGTTTAATTGTCATTATTATGTCTCATTTTTGGAAGTATGATGAGAATGATGTGGCCATTCACTGGAATAAGAATTCCTAGTTGGCCGATATCTTCACTTGAGTCTCCAAGAAAGCTGGCATTTACTTCTGCTTGCCAACAATGCAGAAAATATAAATATTATGCGGAATGTAGGTCTAAAACATTACAAATAAAGAACTGACTGAGCAACAAAATGTGTAACTTTGTTATTTCTAATATTGAAAGAGCCCTACTTTTGTAAAGGCCTTTGACTGCTTCAGTCAACAACTACTGACATTGGTCTTTAACTGTTTTGTTTATTCTTCAGAACATTATCAAGAAAGTCAGTGGGCAAAAGTTTGTGTACAAGTTCGTGTGTTATCCGGATCCCTGCAGTGGAGAGGCCTCTAAGGATGATGGAAAAAGTAGGGAGTCTGTGAATGAACTGGTCCAATCGCTCAAGCCTGGAGACAGCTCCCCGTACATCCCTAAGATGGCGAGGAGTAGCCCCAAGACCAGCCGCAATGAGTACATGCGATCCGGCCTGTATTCCACCTTCACTATCCAATCTCTGCAGGCCCCACCCACCACACATCCCAGGACTAGCAAATTGGAAGCTTTGCCTCCAGCTGAAGCTCCTCCCCTGCAGGAGGTCAGGAGTCAGAGCACTGACATTCCACAGTATGAGTCCATGGATCAGAGTGACGCCGATCTTTCCTTGGAAGTCAACATCCACAGCAGCAAAGAACTTCAGCTACATGTAATGTCTCCATATTATGTCACATATTCTTATTACTCTACTACTTCCATATTTAAAGGGGTGTTACAGTTAAAGCACAACTCCAAGCAGCAAGTCAAATCAAATCAGGAAACATTGCCAGGGTGCCGAAGGTGGAAAGGACACCAAGGTTGCCTATAGTTTGATTTTTTTAGAATACCTTGCATCTAGATTTAATTCAGTCTTCTCACAGTGTAACTGGGCTGAACTGCAACCCAAAGCCTTTTTTTGTTTTTGTTTTCCAGTTTTTAATGGGTATCGTCCTTAAGTTTGTGCGAGTGGGAGTTCATAAGGCTTAGAGAGAGGTTGGTGCTAAAAGCAAGGAACACACTTAGTTACATGGCCTTAAAATTGGCACTGAAGAGAATTAGCTAGAAGGGTAAGCAGAAGTACAAGGTGGTAGGATGCAAGTTATAGCCATGTTCTCTAAATGAGCAGCTTTAATTCAAAATACCTCTACAGTAACATGGCAGGGCCCTCTTCTTCAGCTAGCTTAAATATATTGGCAAAATCCAATTGGGTGGACAGCCTTTATTATATCAAGGTCAGCAAATCCATGCATTCGCATCTGTGGATTTTGGTGTAGCCCTTCACATTGTACCACCCTGGGAACAATGTTTTCTGGCAAATATAGCTCAATTGCAACCATATATGTCCCAATTCAAGCATCATTTGTGACTATCATCTACTGAGCAGGTTTAAAGCCAGGGCCAGATCTGATCTGGGGGTGCATTAAAAAAAAAGTCAGGGAGTATAATGTCAACACTTAGCAAGTCACTGACAGTCATTCACACAGTGTCACAACACCAGTGAAACACTAAAATTAGGCTGTTTTAGATTAGGGGGATTAAAAAGAAACTGTGCTCTTTATATCAGATGGTCCTATCAGAGTCCTCCTTTATATCAGGAGTCTTCATCAGAGTCTCCCTTTATATCAGGTTCCCATCAAAGTGTCCCGTTACATCAGGTGTCCCCATTAGAGTGCCCCCTTACATTGGTGCCCCCCCTTACATCACAGTCCCCAAAGGAGTCCTCCATACATCAGAGTCCATCTTAGAAGTCTCCCTTCACATCTGGGTCCCCATCTGAGCCCATTTTACATCCAAGTCCACATCAGAGCCCCCATACTTTCAGGTCTCCATTAGAGTCCTCCTTACATCAAGTTCCCATCGGAGTCCCCTTTACATCAGATGTCTCCATCAGAGTTTCCCCTTATATCAGGTGTCACCATCAGAGTTCCCCCTTACATAAGGGGGCCCCATCAGAGTGCCCCCTTACATCTGATGTCCCCATCACAGTGCCCCCTTACATCAGGTGTCCCCATCCGAGTGTCACCTTACATCTGGTATCCCCATCAGAGTGTCCCCTTACATCAGGTGTCCCCTTACATCAGGTGTCCCCATCCCCCATCAGAGTTCCCCCTTACATCAGGTGTCAGAATCAGGGTTCTCCCTTATATGGATTGTTACCATCAATCTCCTTACATCAACTGTCTGCATCAAACTGGCTCATTGATTAGTGGCTGTACTCTAAGAGACCTGGGAGGGGTGCAGCTAAAATCTGGGGGGGGGGGGGGGGGGGGCACAGCCCAACCCAGAACTCCCTAGATCGAGCTCTGTTTAAAGCACAACTCCAGCTAAAATTTTCTTTCAATTGTTTAGATAGAGAAATTACTGTCTCTGTTATGTTTTATTGCTGTCTGTTTCTCACTTCCTGTCTCAGTGACTACACAAGAAGTAAATCGAAATATCACCAGTGGGGGAATTTTCTTATTCTATCCAAAACTAAAAATAAATATTCTGACTGACCGTATACTTCTTGCCAAATTCTACTAGAAAAATTACAAGTGCTATGAATGGAGCATTAATTGCCTAGTGAGACGGTATGGTGGGTATATGTGGGGTGGGGGTGGCTGTGAAAGAGCTCCAAATCCACAGCTCTACAGAAAAAAAGCTAATAAAGGTAGTTATAGGCCCCTTTTTGCCTACTCTTATTCCATATTGTGGTAAAATTAGGGGAATGCTCAGCAACTAATATTTCCAGAAAACCAGAAAAAATATTTAGCTTCTATAATACTGAGTGCTAGCTCTGAAGAGAATTATCATGGTGTACAATGCACAGCAAGACAATCCACTTGTATTGCACAATGCTGTCAATCCCATATGTTTCAGCAAGGCACTGGGAGATGCTACAGTGAATAATGATGCCACCTTCCTTGATGAACTGTGAGGCAGGGCTGTGTGAACAAGACCAGTTAAATAGTTTTACAATTATTTTGTCAGGTAAAAGAGTTGACAGAAACGTATTTCACCTGTGTACAGCTGGACTGGAGTTCTACTTTAAATATGTTTAAACATTTTAGCAGATCCTAATTTTTACACCAATATCTTGCTTTCCATTGGACTGGAGTTCTTCGTTAAATAATCTCTAATGGTGCTATTAATGATAGCCACTACATTTTTGGTTTTTCACAAGGTATTGTCACTTATTATGATTGTTTCTTTTCCCATAGGTCACAGTGGATCCCCCAACTCCTGATATCAAAGTGGAGGATCCTCTTGAAGATGCATCTACCGATGTGGAAGACCTCTCCGAACCTCAGGTCTTTCTTGCATCTCTACCTGAGATAAAGACTATTAGCTCAGAGCAGCCACTGGCTCAGGAGATCTTGGTGGTCATCAATTCTCCAGAGAAAGAGGAAGTGAAAGCTAAGGATGATCTCCAGGAAGGAGAGAAGAAAGAGGAGGCACCTCCAGCAAACCCACCACAGGAAGGACATCCCGTAAAAGGGAAGAAGCCAAAAGACCTGGAAATCCCCTTCTCTACTGTGATTGGACAAGAAAAGATGAATGCTGCTGTTAATTCTTTGTTTGGCTCCTGGGAGTGCATCCTCGGTTATCACTTCTCATTCACTGGTGAGTGAAACACAAAACAGAACTTGACGGATTCGCCAAAATTTTTTACAAATATTAACTGCGGGTCAGAAGTAGGCAGTACCATCTGTTTATATCATCAGTACTTTCTGCCTATACTCAAAGAGGTTTGCACTGTTTGCTCTCCCCATACTGTCTCAAGCCAGAAGTGTTTTTTTGCAGGCCAGAAACAGACAGACCAATAGGATTATTCTGTATTATCAGTGCTGCCTGGGCAGCTGGGAACACAACAGTATTGCTTGCCTTTCCAAAACCTGCACTTTTACTAATAAGGAGTTTATTTTAGAAATGTTTATAGGAGCTTCATAGAAGGTAGCACCATCTTTATTTAATAATGTTGCCTTAGTATACTTATAGAAGTTTGCAGCATCTGCTTTCCCATCTCATATCCCAAACCCTATGAGGTCTCATATCAAGAGTGCAAAACATCAGCAAACGTTTGCTGCAGCCTTGATGCAGGCCGTACCGACTAGTATACTCTGTGCTATCAGTGCTGCCTGGATCAGCTTGCAAGGTGTTACAGTATCACCTGCACTTCCAATTTCTGTACTTTTGTTAATATGGAATATTTTAGAAATATCTCCAGGATATTAGAAGGAGGCCGCACCAAAGATAAATATCAGCACTTCATGACTGGACTTATAGATCTCTTCAGCATCTGCTTTCCTACCCCCTATCCAAACCCCTTGCTGTGGCAAAAACGTAATGAAGACAGTACCATCTTTTGTACCTCTTGACAAGCAACAATGAGGTTAGAACAGCAATAGGCAAACTACGGCCCGCGGGCCGTATACGGCCCGGCGGACCTTTTAATCCGGCCCGCGGAGCTAGGCTCCCGCTAGGCTCCTCTCACAGTCCGCCCTGAAGACCGGTGTAGCATGAAAATCTGTCTCCTATGAGGATCTGTCCCCCTCGACGTATCTGCGCATGTGCCGGAGATCGCCGATTGGCTGCTAATGCCTGAAACTGGCACATGCGCAAATACGTCGAGGGGGACAGATCCTCATAGGAGACAGATTTTCATGCTACACCGGAAAGGCGCGGGAACACGGCGAGAGGAACGCGCGCGGAGCAAAGGTAAGTGAATTGACACAGGGGGGACTTGGGGACTTAATATGGGGGATGAATTAATATGGGGGATGAATTACTATAGGGGGATGAATTACTATGGGGGATGAATTACTATGGGGGATGAATTACTATATGGGGGATGAATTACTATGGGGGATGAATTACTATGGGGGATGAATTACTATATGGGGGATTAATTACTATGGGGGATTAATTACTATGGGGGATGAATTACTATGGGGGATGAATTACTATGGGGGATGAATTACTATATGGGGGATGAATTACTATATGGGGGATGAATTACTATGGGGGATGAATTACTATGGGGGATGAATTACTATATGGGGGATGAATTATTATGGGGGATGAATTACTATAGGGGGGACAAATTACTATATGGGGGACGAATTACTATATGGGGGATGAATTACTATGGGGGATGAATTACTATATGAGGGATTAATTCCTATGCTTACTATGGGGGAATATTACTATACTTACTATGGATGACACATACACATCATTCATCTACTCTTGGTCCGGCCCCCGGGTCCAATATATGAACCCATTGCGGCCCTCAAGTCAAAAAGTTTGCCCACCCCTGGGTTAGAACCTTCTTCTTTCCTCGTCCCTATTTGAACTCCATTCTGTTTGCAAGCTGCAGGTTACTGCAGTTCAGAAGCAGACAGCATTAGCTCAAAAAAATTAAAATTTCTTTACTTAGGGGTGAATGCAGCCTTATGGAGTATATTCATCAAAGCGCAAGGATCTTGTTTAACAAGTGAGCAGCAAAAATAGACTTACTGGTTTGTTAAATAAAGCTGGATATAGAAGAGCAGATGTCTCCCCAAATATCATGCCTATGATATTTAGGGAGGGACATCCTCTACATTGATTCAATTGGATGAGAGGTTGCAAATACATGGTTCCCACCTTTCTTAACTCCTCTTATTAAGAAAAGGGAATTGGCGAGGTGATATACAGATTTCCTAGCTGGTGCAGAATCTCTGAATAATAATTATATTGGCACGATTGAATGTTCCCATTATCACCCTCATTAGGTAGCAGCTTCACCCACCCAAACTATGGGGTATTGAATCAGAGGCAGGGTCAGACTACGTGGCCAACTTAAATCAGTGTGCAAATGTGTCTGTAGCAGCCAGTTGGGCTTCAGGTGTCTAGAACAGCCTTTTTCAACCAGGGTTCTCAGGCACCATGGGTAGCCTTAGCTAAATACCTAAAAATTGCCCTAAAATTGTATGCAAGCTTGCCTTTTAGTTACACAAAGCCATAGGTTTTCATTGTGCACCATTACAACCATCTAGCCACCAGCATCCTAACAACCAATTACATCATCAGTTGATAAGGAAGACATCAGGCGCCTGCACAGCATCCTTGTTTTCCCCTCCCCTGCCCCTGTCTGTCAGTACTGGGCTGATATTAGCTAAGTGGGAGAGAAACTGAGGGAGAAGAGAAACATTGGAATACTAGCCAGTACCAGTGCAAAGGTATATTTTCTTTGGAATCATATATCACCTCTAATGTTGGGATTCCTACATGGATGTTGCTGCATTATGTAAAACTATTGTTTAGGTTTTACGTTTTAGAATGGGATGTCTTGAGATTAAAATTATGCACAAAGAGTCTCTTGACTGAAAAAAGGTTGAGAAACATTGGTCTAGCATCACAGCAGTAAAAATACATTCCAATTGGATACCATGGGTCACTGCACTTTTTGTCATGCCCTTAGAATATAAGCCAAAATGATTTGTAGCTGATAGATTGAGATAAAGTCCACTTTCATGAAAAAAATTTATCTGAAATTTCTTTAATCTTTGTGTTTTCAGACTCCTCTGCTGCTTACCCCAAGCTCCCTGCCTCCTTCTATCCACTTCTGGAGTACACTCAGCCCAATAGCTCCCCGAAGTCCAGCCAAGCTGTCCTTCCAGGTAATGCTTTGTTTTCATGCAAGGTTGGTGAAGTATATGAAGAAAAATTCTTATAGTGTAGTTTCCCAGCTGTAGAATTGCAGATGATTTGCCTATCAAGTGTAAAAGCTGTCACTAGAATCCACCAGCATGAAATTCAATTTTTCTGCTTTTATACTTCATTATTATCTTTGTACAGACTTGTGTTCTTAAAGAAAATGCTCAAAAAAATACGATGGATGGCATTGCTGAATTCTCTTTCTGAAAATGCCAGTGTCCTGGTTGTCTTGCTGATTAATTGACTTCTGTAGTTCTCCAATCCCTGTCCCAGAACAAGTATGCAAATAAGGAGTTCAGACAATACTGACAGTATGCTTGATCCAGATCAGTGACTCAGAATTTACTGAAATCAGGAACAGCCCATCAACTAGTGTTTTCAAAAAGAGGTCAGCAGTGGCAGCTTCCATATTTCCATTAGTAGGTAAACATACACATTTTGATTACTGTATTATTATGTATTATATAGATTTGCAAACCTTTATCTAAATATTCTTTGCATAGCAAGATATGTGACCAGTATCCCCTCTTAAAGTGCTTTTACGGCCACATTCACAACTGGCAATGAGCCAGCGGGGGTTTTCATTGATTAGCTGTGGGAGGCAGCCCCATTAAAAGCAATGGGAGAGTGCCAGCTCATGCAATAGCAGCCACTCACATGTAATCGCTCATGCAGCAATCGCCTGCAGACGGTTTGCTTCCAGGGCCAATCACTTGCAGGTAATCACTGCATGAGTGATTACATGTGAGCAGCTGCGGTTAGCTGCAGGAGCCAGTGGCCTCCCAATGCTATCAATGAGGCTTCCTCTCAGCTAATTGTTGGGAACCCCCATTGGAGTTCTAGCATGTAATCATTGTAAGACAGGTGTGAAGGTGGCCTACGGACAAACCTTTAAACTAAATTTACCCTATTTGTCCTAGCGACCATTGTCCCTGGGACAGAGAATAGAACAGGAGATGAGAGGAAATCTTCCAATGAGAATTCCTGTTCCATTGACAACTGTTATAGAGGGAATTTCCCCTCATTTTGGAGAGATACTCTGTTATTTCCTGTTGTGACAGAAAGTAAAGGGAATTCTCCCCAAAAGGACACAGACAAAAAAAATAATTAAAGAAGAAAAAAAAAACAGGAGTTTTACTATGGCCTACTTTATCCCAGGCTAAAAAAAAAAGTTTTTTCAAGTCTACCTTAAATGAACTGATGAAACTTTTTTTTTTTTTTGGACAGTGGGAAAAAGGTTTGAATGTCTGTCAGGTTTTGTACTGCCTGTAGACATTTGTCCAGATTGGACACAGTGGGGTTTATTTACTAAAGCTGGAGAGTCCAAAATCAGACTCCCTTCTGCATAGAAACCAATCAGCTTCCAGGTTTCATTGCCAAAGCTTCATTGAACAAGCTGAGGTTAGAAGCTGATTGGTTTCTATGCAGAAGGGAATCTGATTTTGGACTCTCCAGCTTTAGTAAATAAACCCCAGTATCTCAATTCTTAACACATATTTGGGGCAAACAAGGGAACTGGTGTTTCTGTTTCCTACAGGGAGGAATGTCATTTGCCCTTTGTAAAAAAACAGAAATTGGATATTTCATATGTATAAGTAGCTTGACCCAAAATCTCTCTTGAATTGCAGTTCCCAACCAATGGAAACAGCCAGATCCATGTTCCAACTCTCAGTGTTGATGGGCTGTCCACCCCTGTTGTGCTATCTCCTGGACCTCAGAAGCCATAAGGAACTCACAGAGCTGTGACCTCTTAAGACTTTTTAAATACACAATGTTTTATCTCTTAACGCACCAACACCCATGCGGCCTGCCTTGGGATCTATGATAGCTTTTTGTCTGCGTTATCTGTTGAAAGAGATGTAATTTTTGTGTTGTAACACCTGCTCGGACACACTCTGCCTTTCCCTTGGAAGATGACTGTACGTCATCCGTGATGTAATCTTGAATGCATCAAGTTACACAAAAGTGGAAGACCTTACGTATGAGCTTGTCTGAGGACCACGGATGTCCACGCACTCCCAAACTTGTTGACCAAGAAAAGGTTTTCTTATACTGAGGTCTGTGAAGCCAGTACAGATCCAGTATATATGTGTGGGAGCTTACAGTGACAAACAACAGATGTTGTTAAAGAGCACAGTTATATTGCAAATCATGTATTTGTGAACAAGAAAGGAATGTGACTCTAGGTCAAGAAATAAAATGTGTTTTTGTGACACAAAGATGGAAATCACTGGCTTTTCGGGTCGAGAGGTTTTTATTTTTCTTGTGTGATGGATGAGGAACCATCCACCAACACTTAGTAACTTCTCCCTCAAGAAATATTGTTTGAAGGCCACAAAAAGCACTGGATGTATAAAGAGCTCAGCTTTGCAGGATGCAGTCTGAAAAATTATTTTGATAAACCAAACTTACAGAGCCTCCATTATACTCACTGAAATATTTTATAGCAGACTTTTCCTCAAGTTTTGCTTTCCATGAGCAGCACAAAATAACAGGTTCAGATTTTTTTAAATAGACTAACAAAAGTGGGCCTGTTACCAGCACAGAAGAAGTTAGAAATCTTAATATCCATTGTCTGTTGAGATGAAGAACAAAGAAAAAGATGGAGTTTAGGGAAAACTTAATCCCGAATGAGTCCTGTCTATTTTTTAAGATATTTCCATATGGAAGTTGAGCCTAAAGCTCTTAAAGATCGAAAAAGATATGATTTTGCCTGGTTAAATAACCAAAAGAAAGACTTTCAAAAACGAATGTGTGGGGATCTTTGAGGAAATGTTCAAAGTATATAAAACTGTTGGCAAATACAACCATCAGGATATAAGATGGCCGAAAGAATAAACTCTTGAAAAAAAGGATGAATGCCACGTAGCTCTAGGAATGTTGCTTGCCTCCAAAATAGAAAAGGTTTGATGCACTTCATGGGAATCGTGACATCTTTAATATGTGAAAATGTTTATTTAACACTTAGCACAGATGATCTACTGATGTTTTCCTGTGTGTGATTTTTTTCTAGGAAGACAAATTTTTTGTTCTTGGGGTGTGAAATCAATGTTATATCTGGAAAGAGATTCCAGAAAACTGAGCCTATCACACATTACAATTTGTCACCTCATCTTGTCAAGCAGCAAAAGATTTAGCTGAAAAGAAAAGAGACTAAATTTAGACTTTGTGTTACCAACCATATTTTTTTCTTTTCTACTGAAATGTTTAACTGTCTATTCATCGCCTTTTATGGTGCCATTTGTCCATCTCTGTAGGGCAGATGAAAAGCAGGTTCATTCTTGCACTTTTTTAGCTGTCACATGTAGATATTGCTAAAGCCCTGAAAAACAAAAGTTGGGACAGCCCACCTAACACAGATATTTCAGTATTTGGTAGATGCTGGTGAGCTGAATCATCCACGGTTTTTGATTATATTTCCAAGTTCTGATTTTTCCAGCTTTAGAGTCTCGTGGTTCCTACTATAGTACCCAAATCGAATGAGTGCTGATTTGTTTAACCACTTTCTTATATCTGTTGGGAACACTATTTCCAAAAGTGAGTGAGAGAGAGAAGAACCCTTATAATAGCTGCAACAAGAAGTTGGAGCAGGAGGTGGCTTAACATAGTATTAAACCCAAAAACAAAATGTAATATGTTGCAGCTTACCTATACTTAAATGTGGTGGCTGCATTTTGTTTCTCCTTTTTTCCTTGATTTTCACTTGATGATCTGGCCAGTAACACACATTCTTTCGTAGTGTGTATCCACTCCACTGGAGGAACAACTAAGACACCTTTGGACAACAGCATTGTTAGTCTAGAAGGGAGGGTAGTATTAGATGTACTAGCAGATTTAGACTTATCCAACAAATTAAAGCTGAACTCGAGCTAATACTTTTTAAAGGTGAAGTATGGATTTGGGAAAAAGCAAACATTTATACTCACCTCTATGCTGCATCATTAGTGTGATATCGCAGCTGTCTGATGTCAACTATAAGCTCGAGAAACTGAGCAATCACATGACTGCTGATCACTCAGTTCTCTGTACACTCAGAGTGGAGAGCAGTGACTGTCAGCACTCACTTGTCGTGCGGGGAAAGGAGGGGGTGGGAGCAGCTGGCTCTGGCTCTCAGCTGCATGCTGAAAGGCAGAGCCATCTGTCAATCTATCAGACAGCTGTTTGTATTCCAACAATATTGTCAGGATCCTTCCAGAACCTGCAGTGGCTCTGTGATGTCAGCTGATAGTGGGCAATAGCCCGCTATCAGCTGACTTTGGGTTTCAGGAGAGCAAGAGTAAGTGCACTCCTGTGACCCACAAGAGAAATGTGACCAAAAAAGCTTTCTCAACCCTCTAATTGCCACATTTTCTGGACAGCTTCAGTAAAAGTAAGTAAAAAAATAACAGACTTAATGGCTGGATCAATAAGTGAAAATAAAGTAAAATATGTCTAAATAAAACAAAATAAATGCAGCTACCACGTCTAAAAATTGGTACACTGCAATATTATATTTTATGTTTTTGGGTTTATTACCACTTTAAATTATATTCAGCCCAAGGTAAAGCATCAATCTTGGGTGGACTTTGCCTTTATTTTTTGCTGTGGAAAGTGTAGTTAGTTTTCCTCCAGCTGCCTCACTGCTGTTCATCTCATCTCTTTTATCACCCATTTGAGTGATGCCAAAGGCAGAGTAATGAAGCATCTGCATAGAAAATGTCTGTGTTGCTTATAACATCTAATCAGGTTCCATCTGTAATCTTTGTAATGCAGGTATATGCCTCTAATTGATGGGTACATGTAAATTTAAATGTAGCTGCTGTTTGTGGCTATTCCTCCTCTTCAGGGTGTGATAAATAAGAAGAGTTGAGCTTAGTTGCTGTGGTCCAGGTATAGATGTCTCTGCTCAGATTCTTCATGAGCTAGGCTGTTAAAGAATGAGGGAATGAAGGGGGTGAGTGCAAGCTTGGGTAGGTTTATTCTGCAAAGAACTATTGGTGTGTCAAAAGTGCAGAAACCCATAGCCACCAATTTAGAAATCAGCTGACATTACACTCAGGCATTTAAAAAAAATTACATTATGACTGCTTTTGGCATATTCTGATTGCCAGGTAGTGCCCGAGAGTGCCAAGTGATGGATTTTGCATACTGTCTGCTTCCCTGTTGCAAGGAAAGTAGGCAAAGCTGTCAACTGGTTATCTAAAAATTTTAATTATTTTCTTTTTCATGCAATTAGGTCCTTTGTTAAAGGTCAGCTCCCCCCAAAAGCGATATTTCAGTTCTGTGTGTTTACTAGCAAGCTGAGTCATGCACTGCCTCTTTAAGTCACCCAGCTACTTCAGCGGCAAGATCCCTACTGAATCCTCTGGTTCTGTCAAACTGCCATGACAGATTCCTTCAGTGTTGAATACTTTGTTCCATGTTTTTTCCCTTTTTAGAATTTTAACCTGTTTTTACATGGATTCACATTGGCTCATATGGAGGAATAAAAACAAAGCACAAATATATCAAACTGACCTTGATTTCGTAAGCCTGTGTACACTAGCCCTTAGCTGGCCACAAACACAATATGATCATTGTCCAATTTGGTAAAAAGAATCATAGAGTGACCTTTCTGGTACAGTTGTGGCCACCTTTAGGGCATTGTGGAAGGAGACAAAGCACGGCCAATACAAGGGAAATCTTGCTATTGAAGTTTCTGAGGAATGTGACAAGCCGGCAGGTAATTTGGAAAACTGAAATATAAATGAGTATAACAGTACAATCAGGTTGTACATGCTTTCCAGAGAAAGTTCTATACCAGTTTGATTCATAATATGTTTTAATGAATATGTCACTTTATTAATTATTGTAATGATCACTGTATAGTTTGGCTTTATTTGTAGGTTAGTTTACGATTGATTGGCAACCACAAATCCCTACAGTTGCCATAAATGCCTCCTTTTACAATCCTTTTATCTGTTTTTGCAGAACATAGTTAGTACTATACTACTCTGTGCTTTCTGTATGTATATATTCTAATATTTGTTGTGTACCCCTCCTCCCCTTTCTTTAGCCAATCACGGAAGAGTATCACATTCCCTCTTGGTGATTGAGGTCACCTATTCCAAAGATCTCCTCAGGAATGTTCCACAGATGCCAGACAGGGGGAGCCCAGGAACAATTCTTCTCTATTGACTTTTCAGGGTAACTTTTTGTTTTCGTGTTTTATTTCTTGGAGCGTGTGACACCTGAGGCTCCCCCTCTATATTCCTAAGGCCTTTCTCTTAATCACAAGGGCGTCTTGTCCTTGAAAGGGCTTCTGAGGAAAAAAAACCTTTTCCTAAGTAGTGTGCCCCGTACTGGCTTTGTTTTAATGGGGCCACAAGTTGTTTTTTTCCAGCGTTTTCTTCAGCTGACTATCTAATGTTCTACTGTAGTCTTTGCTGCTGGAGACGCCAAGCACAACTGGTGGGGCTGGATCAAGTTCTTGGCATGCTGAGCCTTTGTCTTAAGGTGTCAAAAGCTGTGAGGTGGCTTTGCATATGCTGACCATATTGTGTGGTATAATTTAGATCCATCAGCAAAGAACATTTGTCTGTTACAATTGTGTATAGAATAGAATCACTACATTTATCTATGTGATGCTACTAAAGTTTAGAGGAAGTGTGCAATAGAGGTTTATTCTAATTGACAAGGGAAACCTTAAAGAGTACCTGTCACTTTTTAAGGTAGTCTTTTCATCAGTCATTTGGATGAAAGCTATGAA